TGATATTTTGGGCCCCTGTTTTGGGGTCTTGATCTATGCACAGGTTGGGGATCCAGCCCAATCCCCCGCCCTCCCAGGGCGTTGTTTGTTTAAAAAAAAAAAAACTAGTAATAAAAGACAACTAACCTAGCAACAAAACACAACTAACCTAGCAACAAAAGACAACTAACCTAGCAGCAAGAAGAAAATAACCTAGCAACTTAAGATAACTAACCTAGCAACAAAACTCTTTTTTGTTCTTGATCTATGCATAGGTTGGGGATCCAGCCCAATCCCCCGCCCTCCCGGGGCGTTGTTTGTTTAAAAAAAGAACCTAACAACAAAACTCAACTAACCTAGCAGCTACAAATAACTAACCTAGCAACTTCAGACAACTAACCTAGCAACAAAATACAACTAACCTAGCAGCTAAAGATAACTAACCTAGCAACAAAAGACAGTTAACTTTGCAGCAAGAAAGAAATAACGTAACAACAAAAGACAACTAACCTAGCAACTACAGACAACTAACCTAGCAACATCAGAAAAATAACCTAGCAACTACAGAGAAATAACCTTTGGGCAGGCTCACGGCCCGAGACTGGACAGGCTGCACGCCACCGCATCGCTACATGGTGGCCCCACCACCGCCTGTTCGGCCTCCACGGGCCAGAGCTGTTGTTTGGCTTCGACCTGACTCTCCGTGGGTCAAGCTGAACACTGATGGCTCTTTTGATCGCCACACTGGACTTGCCGGAGGAGGAGGCTTGATCCGGGACCATAGCGGCGCCCTCATCACTGCCTTCCACGCGTCCATTCAGGCCTCCTCGAGCTACGATGCAGAGATTCAGGCACTACAAATTGGCCTTCAGATTGCTGTCCACCTCTCTGGTCATATATGGATCGAGCTAGATGCTGCGGCTGTCGCCACCCTCCTGACTTCGGGCCATCAGGGCTCGTGGCAGATTCAGCACCCGCTTATGCACATTAGAGATCTACTTCGGTCAGTCCATCACAGGATCACACACATTTTCCGTGAGGGGAACAGACCGGCGGATTACCTGGCCAGCCGTGGCGCCACCATACCAGGCACACATACATTCCAGACCGACACTGCTCCACTCCGCCTTCGCACCCTTGTACGGATGGACCAGCTTGGATATCCAGCTTTCCGCTTTCACTAGTTTAGGATTTCTGTTTTCACTAGTATAGACATTTATTTCGGGCATCTGTTAGCCCGAAAAACACCTAGCAACTACTAATCTAACAACTACAGAGAACTGACCTAGCAACTACAGAGAAGTAACCTAGTTGGAAGGTTAGTTATCAACGGTCAACGCCGGAAGTCAACGGTCAATGCCGGAGTCAACGGGTCAAAATAATATTTAAATAATTAAAATAATAAAAAGAAAAGAGTAAATCTTGACCACACATGATATGTACCAAATCTTGTGGATAAAAATGAGTCTTACGTCCTCACTTTAAATAAGTGGATGCATTGGAACCATTCCCTATATATATATATATATATATATATATATATATATATATACACACTAGTGCGGTACCCGTGCGATGCACGGGCTAGTATTATTAAGGGAAGCATTTATATTTGAATGCTTGGATGATTGGTCATAACATAAAACAAATATATTGGAATAAAACAAAATGTTAATTATATATTATTAAATACCTCCTTGTACACAACATTATTTGTTTGGTTTTTTGATACGTCGTCATCATCACAATTTTAAATTTGAAACCCTTACGATTTGTAACGCGTGAAACAACTGCATACAGCTGCTGATCGTGGTTTGACCCTGACTCTCGTTTACCGTCAGGTCGTAAGAAACCATCAGTGGGAACTGTCTTCATTGGAACTGTCTTCGTAACCCGAGGATTTTACATTCTAGGATCACATTAATTTTGCATTAATTAATTTTGTATTACATGTTCGAACGAATTTGAAATTCAAATTACAAATCAACAATCAATTTTTTAAAGAATTTTAAAAAAGTTACTAATTATAGTAAAATCCAAATTTTTAGACGGGATTTAACTTTCTAACTAATGTAAATCCCTATTGGTATTTTATAGTAATAGATGAGTATTCAATATTATTTAATTATATTAATAATAAAACTTGGATAAATTTATACACACTCTCTTAATGACGAACAAAAAATATGAATTTTGAGAATGATTTTTTTTTTTTTTTAATGATTTTATTTGAGTGAAGATGAGTCTAATTTTCGAATGAAAAAACTTAAGCTGTTTCTTAAATTTTTAGATACAAATTAACAATAGTTCAGCAACGATACAAATTAATCAATTTAAATTTTGTCAACTAGCAATCCTAATCATCCAATGCCACGACCGATGGGTTTAACAACTATACGCGTTCATTTCACACAAAGAGGATCACATTAAAGTCAATTATATGAATAATCTCGATATTTTTCGAAAATTTATCATATATCGCATTATAATTGTGATATATATATATATATATATATATATATCTATACTTATATAATAAGGTGTACCATTTACGAAATTTAGTAAGTTGAAAAGTCAATGCAATAAATGCATTACTATTTTGAGCAACATAATATAATATCATATCTATACTTATATAAAAGGAGATTCTATTTACTACATTTACTATCCAGAAAAGTCAACTGCATTAAATGTCATTACTATTTTGGTATTATAATATTTTATTTATTTAATTGATTTATTTATTTATTTTATTTAAAAAGGTAAGTATAATAAAAAGATTTTAATAATAAGAAAATCAAATACCAAAAAAAAAATGTACACTTTGACTTATTTGATTATATTTGGTATTTGATTATACCAAATATATTCCTATTTAGTATATACATTAAATACTTACTAAAGTATTTATTTGTTTTATTTGTCAAAGTTAAGTATAGATTTGTTTATATTATCAAATCATAAAAAAATATTAAATCCATATTGTAAAAAAAAAAAAAATCATATAATTTTATAACAATTCTACTACACTATTTAACAATATTTCTTTTTTTTTTATATAATAAAATAATAATTAAATATTATATGGTGAACAACAATAAGTAAAACTGTTGCTTTCTCTTATATCAAGGGATAAATTTATATGCTAAAATTAAATTTTTATTAGTATAAATGTTTTAGTGAGATAATATATTAATTATTTTACAAGCTAGCCCTAACATGCTCATATTTAATGTTTTAAAAGATGTAGAAAAAACTTATAATAACTCTATTGTTTTTTAGACTTAAACGTTGATTAGACAAGTTTTCATGCTTGCTGGTAACATGCTAAGATCAGGGCATGCTTGACGGCCTCAGCCCTACTCTTTTGAAAGATATGAGGGAATGAAGTGAGAGGAGCAAGCAACTCATATATATAAGGCGCGAAGAGGCGCCCTTACTGTCTGATCAATGGCAACCTGGTAAGAGGTAAAAATTCCTATTTTTTTAGCTTAAACGTTGATTAACACCATAGATTGAAAGTCTATATTTAATAAAATTCCTAATTGTAATAAAAAAATTAATTTTTGCTATATTTTAGAATATCATTAAATTCATTATAAAAAAAAAAGAAAAAAAACTACAATGAAAAAAGTAAGTCAGCTATATATCGATTTGTTGTACTCCTCAAATCACATTCACAATTTGGCTACAAAGAAAAGAAACTCATTGATTAAAATATTATTTTGTCAGTAGTTTTAATGTACAAGAGACTTTAAGACTCTACTTGAATATTATAAAACTTTTATTGAACATTATACAATTTTCTTGCTTATTATAAACTCTTATTGAATAGTGCATCTTATAATATAATATTCTCCAAATAAATATATCCTCGGGTCACGTAATATATATATCCCGTACATTTTTCTTTATTCATGTATATAATTATAAACCTGGATAAATAGCCTTAAAATTGTGCACTCCGTGCATGGCACGGGCTCTGTACTAGTATATATATAATTGCTAGCCTTTCATTTAATTTTACCTCATAAATAAAACCTAATAAATTTTACTTAATAAATAATACAAACTTTCCAAATACAAAAACCGTTACTTTTACAAAATACATCACTTTTGGACAGTTACAAAATCTAAACTAATGATCACTATTTTATCCAAGTATATCAATTTAGGCTAATTAACTAAAAATGTTTATTTTTTAATTTCTTATATAATCATTAATATGCTAACTTAATTACGAATTATTTATTATAGATTTTCATGATTACATAAGCATGTATTCAGAATATAATTTAAANAAAAAAAAAAAAAAACTTTTTATAATTTTTTATTTGGAATATTTATTATTTTTGATGATATCACTACAATAATTAATCATGGTGAAAATGAAACATACAACACATGTACAACATGCACAAATACACTAACAACAATACAAAATAATTTCATCACCTATGAAAATTGTATCATATAATAGTTATTATTACAATTAATAATTGTATTTTACACTAAATAATATGTGAAAGTTACATAAACATAAGAACCTATATTGTAAAAACTTTTTGTTCGAGTAATTTATTATAAAATCAATATAATATTTCTATATCTGCTTAAGCGATTACTTTTTAAATAAATTAATTTTTTTTAATAGTATAGTAAAATTTTTTAAAATTACATAAGCAATTGTTATAATCAATTTAATATTTTAGCTAATTAATTAGCCATAGTCTCTTAAAATTTCAAAAAATACATTATTTATTTTATTTTATGTGATAAATATAGTGATTCATATACAATAAAACTATTATATACTTTTTACTTTAACTAATAATTAAATTTTAAATATAATGCCTTTATCTAACTTATAATTTTAATATTATATACATAACTAACTTATAATACCCTATGTTTAAAATATAATATTATTATCTAACTTATAATTTTAATATTATATTTTAGATAATAATATTATATGCATACAAATAACTTATAATATTTTATTTATATTTGTAAAAATGCACAAAATCAAATACTAGTTTCATGGTTAAAACGAAACATCAATTATTTTTCTTTCATTATCGAATTAATATCACACGTTACCAAAGAACAAAGGGTAGATTAATCAATGGGGGCGAAAAACGAATAGAGTAACAATATTGCCATCGTGATAAACTTTACAGAAGATAATAATAATAAAATTTCAACTAATTAATTGTCCATGCTCTGCCCTCAGAACAAATCCAAAAAGCAAAACACACATCAATTTAACGTAACCCTAAATATTCTACCGCCGCCGCTAAACCAAAGTCCTATCCTTCAACCTTATGCACGCTCGCCACGAATCCGCCTAGCAAGCTGGATGTCCTTAGGCATGATCGTAACCCTCTTGGCGTGAATAGCACACAGATTGGTGTCCTCGAAGAGACCAACGAGGTACGCCTCGGCTGCCTCCTGCAGAGCAAGCACGGCGTGGCTTTGGAACCTCAGATCGGTCTTGAAATCCTGCGCAATCTCACGAACCAAACGCTGGAAAGGCAGCTTTCGGATAAGGAGCTCCGTGCTCTTCTGGTATTTTCGGATCTCACTGTTCAATGCAATAAATTAATCAGAAACCCTAAATCGAAGCAGATAAAACGTTAATACAACAGTAAAAATTGGGATTTAGGGTTTACCGGAGTGCGACTGTTCCAGGGCGGTAACGGTGGGGCTTCTTGACTCCGCCGGTGGTCGGAGCCGACTTCCTCGCCGCCTTTACAATAACAAAACGAAAAACGGATCAAAAGAGGATCAAACTAAAAAAAGCAGATCTACTGGATGCGATTGAAGACATGACAAATCAAATAAAAACAGAAACTAAAACAAAGATCAACTGGATGAGATTGAAGACATGACAAATCAAATTAAAACAGAAACTAAAACACAGACCTACTGGATGCGATTGAAGACATGACAAATCAAATAAAAACAGAATCAAGGAAGAAAAGATAAAACAGAATACTGCTGATTAAACCCGCTGACCTTGGTGGCGAGCTGCTTCCTCGGAGCTTTTCCGCCGGTGGACTTACGAGCGGTTTGCTTGGTACGAGCCATCGATTGTCAAATTGAGTTGAACTTTAACGAGAGGATTAGGAGGAGGTTTTACTGAGATTTGCGAAAATTAGGTTAAACAATGGTCGAATGAGGAATGGACGCTTTATATATTGGGAATGGGATAATTGGGTCGACGTGGAAAATTTGGATTATTTTTGCCTTGGCTGCAACGGTTTCCTGACATTCGGAAAAAGCCAAAAAAACAAAAAATGTAAAAAGGGTGCGGATCCGTGACATTAGTTTTGAAGCTTCTCATTGGATGATGTGAATAATCTACGGTTGCGATTGGTTCATTTTAGAGATGAGGCGGATAAGGACCGAGTTGTGCTTCCTTTGTGTCTGTAATTTAATATTTTGTATTATTGTGTTAACTCGTCTGAGTCTATGTGCGACTCGTATCGAGTTTATGACCCAAAGGAGGTAGCTTTTTCCCTTTTTGGTTCCCACTTCCACACAACTAGCAATAAGATTCTATAATTACCATTGATTATT